TACATATATTTTACATGAAATGAAATCACGAAAAGATTAATGTTGAATTTAAGTTTCTAAGGGAATAAAATTTAAAAGCGTTTACTTCTGTATTTATATCAATTTATACTGTATATACTTTCAGCCTTATTACTAAATACCTCAAACTATCATAACATATTAATTATAAAAAAATTACGATAAAAAATCACTAGCATCAGTACTCAGCAATAAGTAACTTGATTATGATTAATCAGCACTCACATCTTCTGTGAAGCACCTTTCTTCTTCACATGATACCGAAACAGCAGTATCGCTGAAACGAAACACAACCAACATTCAGTATGCACCTGTTTCTTGATTTGTCAAAATTAACACGAATTCAATCGAGTGATAATCTGCTGCCTGATACAGTGACCAGAAGAGAAGATCGAATGAAGTTTTTGTCGGATAGACAGATGTAGAAACAGTTCTACGTCCATCATTATTAAAGGTTCACAGGCAATAGCAAAATATAACGGCAGCATAGCCATGATAAGTAATATCAGAAGTAGTTGCCCCTATAGAAGTTCTTCAAGAAATCAGACATGCCCTGGTCCTTGTCCACGTCCTGCACAAGTCCTTGTTGACCAACTACGTACTGGCCAATTATGTGGTGCCGCTGCTTTGCGTGCTCGGCAATGTTGTTCAGCTCTTCCATTCCCTTGAAGAGCAACATATCAATCACCTGCAGGTTTTCTACGATCAAGACGAAGTTCTTCGAAAGCAGCAATTAAAATCTATAGACACGGCAATTATGTTAACTACCATTTAGGAATCTGACTAAGATATGCACCAAGTATTCTCATTGGCCATAGATTTGATCCAGTTTCAATCACAACTCAGCAACAGCATGTTCAAATCATATGCATGTATAACACAAAATACAGCACCTAGAAGGTTATATATGAATACAAACTGGTATATAAGCGCCCATCCAAGAAATCATATTGGACATTAAGAATATATGCGAATATACGGAAATGCTGTGAAACTTTACATAAAGATGAATAGTAACATTATTCTCTTTTGCTTGCATGGTCTAAAGCAAAAAGGAAAGTTAACAAATTTTAGGTGATACCTAGATTTTAAACGAAAGAGAGCAGGTTCAGCCATCAAGCAAGTGTAGTAGACTTGGTATTCTCTATGAATTTGATTTTTATAATTTTCTAACCAAATTTGTATCCTTCCTAATCAATCTAGGAATAACATTTCCAAATAAATTTCACAAAAGTTCCTGAATTTTTTTCAAACATAGTGCAAATCTACTAGATCATTGTGGAAGACATCCTCAGAGAGTCTCTGTCCATGCCAACTGCATTTCCAACACTAACCTAAACTGAAGAATGGAATAACAGGTTGATGCCTATGAGCATATCCTACCACTAAAAGAGGAACACAAACCAACATTTATACATTGAATAAGTTGGGGAATTGTGTCTTTCCAACAAGCTGACAAGAATCAGAACCAAGGCGATTTCTGTCAGGCAAGAAATTCAGTGAAAAAAAAACCCAATTGCAAAAACTATAAGATTGAGCTTCTTAGAATTATATAATTTTCCAATCCTTAAGACTGATTCCTGCTATCAAAATCCCAACAAAATCAACAATCAACATGCTGCATACAAACCAAGCATGGATAGCATCAGCTTGAGGAGCTACTCTTTAATGATACAAAATTTATATGGAAAACAACACCGGGAAAAAAAAAGAAAGAGCTTAATCATAACGCAGAAAAAAGCATAAGCCATTAATTCATGAGACAAACCTATGTTCCTCCTTACAACTCCTAAGGCCTTCTCTCATCTGGATGCAGTCTTAAACATGTTATTCCTCGCCACCGAAAAAGAAAGGCTTCTACCAATTTATTTAAGAAATCCAACGGCGTATAACAATTCTATAAGTTTAGATAAGGAGGAATTTCACATGGAGATTGAAGCAAGAGATAGATCAAACAAACAAATTAATATCAGAAAATTAAACAATGTGAAATTCCAAAGTGATCTAATTAGTCCAAAATACATCCAATTGCAAATAGGAGAGCAGAGAAATTTGGGAGACCTTGGGGTTGGTGACATTGGCGTTTTTGCGGATCTCGGAGGCGATGGCGGAGCGGAGCTGTGAGATTTTAACGACGTCGTCGAGGTTGTATATGTCCATGACAGTTGGTAAAGATCTGCAGGCGGACCTGAAAAAATCGAACACCCGGTTCCTGGCCTCCTCTAGACTCGCAGAGTTGGGAGGCACCTTCAAGCTTCTTAATGTAAACGCCATTTCCAACGCTTGTCTAACACAATACTCAACTCGACTCAGACCCCGAGTGGAGTTCTAGGTTTTGTTCTCAGCTTTCTCGCAAGAGAAATGGAATGATACTGCGAGACCAACAGCGGACGACACAACACGGTGGTGATGGAAGAGGTTACCGCGTACAGGACAAAAAACGGTACCGTTTTGGTAGCAGTCTTATGGGGCATACGGCGACGTATGACACCTCTAACTCGCAGTCTGACCACGTTAAACTTTTATATTAAAATATTTTTTTTAGTTTTTATATTATATATATTATTTAAAAATAGTTTAATAAAAATAATAATAGAAAAAAAAATTATAAAATTAAAAAACTTTAAACTGTTGCGTTAAGAATTTATTTATATTTTTATTGATTATTACACAAATATACAAATTTTTTTAAAAAAACACATTTAAAAAATAAAAATTAAAAAACGGTACCGTTTTGGTAGCAGTCTTATGGGGCATACGGCGACGTATGACACCTCTAACTCGCAGTCTGACCACATTAAATTTTTATATTAAAATGTTTTTTCAGTTTTTATATTATATATGTTATTTAAAAATAGTTTAATAAAAATAATAATAGAAAAAAAAAATTATAAAGTTAAAAAATTTTAAACTGTTGCGTTCAAAATTTATTTATATTTTTATTAATTATTATATAAATATACAAATTTTTTAGGTATTAAGCTGACTATATTACATAAAAATATTTATATTCCTGTATAATTTTATGTGAGAATATCATTAATTGTATATTTTTTAAATAAATAAATTACTAATACGAGTCATACTGTAATTGAATTATAAATTTTTTTTATTATAATTTACTATTTAAATTTATAAAATTTCTTCACAGTATGATTTTTTATATATTCGAATTACAAAACTAATGAGTTGCCGAGTTCGTCCTTTTTCTTTTTCCCTCTTCATCTTGTTTTTCCACTTCTCCCCAAGCAACAAACAAAGCCAACACTGCTTCCCTTCACAAGGTTATTTACACTAAATACTCCAAATACATTGTTGATTAACTTGTAAGTTCATACAAAATAAGCCAAGTCACATACCTTGCAAGTAGGTAATGTAAGATCCTGGTACTGCTTTTTATCTCACATACCGGAATGCAGCAACTATATGGAAAATAGAGGAAGAAATTCATCGAGGAAAGCAAGTGTCCGAATTTAGTTATACATTGCGTGCACGTAGGCAAAATAGTTAGCATGTCACAAACGGAAATTTCACGAAATTAGGAAAGTGTTTAGAGGTAAATGTTTGTGGTTAATCCTCAGTAAGTAGTTCACTTTTTCCTTTCTACAACAGTTAAGCAAGAGAATTGAGCCTTGTAGTTTTAAGGCTTTACATTTCCCCACATTCAGCAATAACGCAAGCAAGTTTAGGCCGATTGTTAGGTCCAGTAGCCACATTCTCAATTTTCCGAACTACCAAAAGACCATCTCCGAGAACTCTCTACATCAAAAGCAAGGATAATAAAGTTATTCAGTATTTCTGATCAAGAAAAGCCAGGGAAATGAATATGGAAGGTTCATAGTCCTCTGAAGTAGATCAGGCCAGACCAACCCAACCAAACTAAATGAAGACATGAAAGAAGTTCAAATTTCAGTTATTCAACTAGTCCTCATATCACTGCCTGGTTCTGAAGCATATATCCGATCTCTCGAAGCAAACCAAAGCTGAAACAATATTTCAGATCCATACGGGATAATACTAGATTAACTAGTTCCAAATTCATTATCCTTTAATAGGTACAACAAATACATTAACTAATTGCAGATTCATTTTTAAACATGGATTTAAAAATGTTAAGAGGACATACCCCAAAGACAACGTGCTTATTGTCGAGCCAATCACATTTTGCACAAGTGATGAAAAACTGCAGCAAAAGGAATGCAATAATAAATTGTAAAGATAGGAAAATAAGGAGATAGCTTCAGAAAAATTCTTAAAGCTACATTAAATTCCTCGAATTTCTTTTAGAATTTA